CCCCCCCCCCCCCCCCCCCCCCCCCCCCGTCACCTCAGGAGGCAAAAATCAATGAACTGGTTTAGCACAATACATAAAGGTTGAAATAGCACAAGCGTGTCAGCTTGTAAACATACCTAACAACATACTGAATGTCAAAGTGTTATCTAATACATTTCTATTCTTTCCATTTTGATTAGGCATAAATCCCTTGAAAAATGAAAAAAAAAAAAAAAGTAAACTTTATAGTTTGGAGAAGCAGCTGTAAGTAATGATTTATCTTCCGGTGGATGCCTGGTTGGCTTCGGTTTCAGGGGCCCAGAACCAAGATCGCCAACTGCTGGGTGTGCAGACACCTCCGCCATGCCCAGCTCTAGATGAACCCTTTTTAACTGCTTTGGCTTTTATTTCCATTATGCTAAAAAGCACAAAGAATGTGAACCTCTTTCAGTTGCTTGTCTTCATTAGTCATCTGGAAAATTCAATAACCTGCACTTACAGTTGGCTAAAGTAAGGCCACAAACAACTGCAAACATTGGCAAGAAGAGCGGGGCTATGGAGCTCACACACCAGAATCCAGGGTGGACACTAGCAAAGTCACCTTGGCAGTACCTCCCTGAGCTCAATTTCAGCCATTCTACCCCTAGACATATAACCAAAATAGATGCCCATGTGTGTTCAACAACAACAAAAAAAAAAAAAAAAGGTACAAAATTACTCCTGTCAGGTGTCCTAATTTCTTTCGTGTTACTGTGACTAAAACACTGGTATGAAAACAGAATGTTTCATCTGACACTTCTGGGGAACAGTCCACCAGCGAAGGAAATCAGAGCAGGAACCAGAAGGCAGGAACTAAAGCAGAAACCATAATGCTAGTGACTGGCTCACTCCTCTGCTTTGCTCATCCACCTTTCTTATAAAACCCAGGACCTCCCGCCTAGGAATGGGGCTGCCCTCAGTGGGCTGGCCCCTCCTCTGTCAATTATCAATCAAGAAAATAGGCACAGATGTGTGTACAGGCCAATCTGATGGAGGCAATTCCCTTAGCTGAGGTTCCCTCTTCCCAGGTATGTTGAGTGAACAATGATGATTAGCCATCACAATGGCGTTATTTATATTAGAACCCAAAGGGCAACCAGACAGCGCCATTCTCAATAAGATGATAAAAAGTAGGATAGTCAAAGTATAGAACCCTAGGCAGCAACAAGCATGAGCAACTCACAACCCCACACAACCGGGGTTTTAGGAACAGAACACTGAGTGAAGGAAACTAGGCATGGATGATCACACTCTGTGATACTATGCACATCATTTTCAGAACTGACAAAATTAATCTAGATATCAGAAATAAGAGGAGTGAAAAGGGTTATCTTGCAAAGAGGGCTGGCTTAATCTATGGGTTCCTGGAGAAAAAGAAAAAGGGAGAG